TGAGTCTAGCGCCTTAGACCGCTCGACATTGGTCGTCCAGGAAGGCCGTGGCTAGGAATGAGCAACACATATGATAGCCATCTCAAGAGATGGAGCTTCACATTCTCATCGTGACTTACCCTCCTTAACTAACAACCTACGTCCAATCAAAATATCTGTCTCCATATTAAACGTTTTTACCCGAGAGACAGAACGGGATCATCTGCAGTTAATGGAAGCTAACTTTGTCGTATCTTCCACGTTCAATGGTCATTTCTCACAAAGGAGTACAGAGAAAATGGTGCACAGTACACTTGTCTTTTGATCAATAACTAGATATAATATCTGTTCCAGAGAAGACATGAGATGGAAAATGCCACAGGAACCTTTTGTATCCTCACTAGAATTTCGTCATCAATCAGTCTATTGGAGATTATGTGACTTTACAAATAAGTGAAGTGGCTAACAGGCTCAGCCATTTCACTCCCTATCTTTAAGTAAGGAGTCAGTATAGTCCAGTCCTGCAGCATTATCTTACAACTGACAAGAGTGAATCTCATGCCAAGCATTTGAAGATTGCTTACTGCTCGAGGTGTTCAAAAGGTTGTATTTTGCCGGCGTCTTCATCTAGGATGACAGTATCATCCTCCCACTTCAGGTCCACGAGACTGTCCTCCTGTTACAGGTCAAACCCAAGCTCACTAAAATCAGTTAGGATGAATTCCGTTAGTACACCTTTGATGAAATTAAACAAAAATGGGGTTACTGAGCATCAGTTATAGACACCGCTGGTTGTTATCACTTCATACGATAACTCCTCAAGTAGTGTCTTGATTAGTGTGATATGCTCTCTCAGAACTCAATTAACAGCAAAAAGTTGCAATCGCTCCTCTCCGTCAACAGAATCGAGTCCCCCTTTCAGGTCAAAAAATGTGTCAAGTGCAGGTTATTATGCCTTTGTTTCAGCTGTATTGAATAATTTCATCGCATACATTTGTTTCTATACTCAAGCATGTTTATTATATAATTAGACTATTTTACATCTATTTATCTTTGATCATCTAAGTCAACTTATTTATGAAGCTCCACGCTTTGTTTGTTCTACCTTTATCGTTTTTAAACTGCTGATCATTAAACATTTTGATCGATTTCACATATTTTTTTGGAACAAACCTCTAAATTATTTGACTTTAGTATACTTAACTCTGGGTTTTTTCTCGGTGCGTCTCACCATCACTGCGAAAACTGTGACTAAGAAAATTCTGAAACACTTGAAAAAGGAATCCAATCAACTGAACCCCTGTATAATCAAGTGTATATCTACTTACTTTACAGAAACATAATAAACGCCCATAAAGCCAAATACTACAGTCAGAAAAACTTAGTTTATCGCCTCACTTGATGTCAATTGCAGAATTCATCTACCTCAGCATTCAGCTTTCAGTGCGTTATTAGGAGATGATGGTTCCTATCATGTTAACTGAAATCATTTGCTTAAGCTGCATGGAGGTAAAGGTCTAAATATTCAAAAGTTATTGATAGGAAAACATAAGGATCCAAAATGCTATAATGAATAAAGCTCCTAATGATGACAAGCAAATGATATTCTGTTGGAATTATAATGGTATTCGGCACCTGCTACCAGCCAACGACATGGAAAGTTAATTTCTATATTGTAGAGAAGAGGAATTGAATTGCTTTTATATGATAAGAAAGCCCCAGTTATCTTTTCTTGGGGTCAGTAAAAGATCTTAGTCCTTACTGTTGGTTTTTAAACAAGTTATGTATATTCATTAGAAAGTTTAATCACTGAGAGGAAAAGTTTTTGCGTAGGACAAAATGTAGTTTTCAAAGTTAAATTATCTCAACCTCTCGAAATGAAAAGACTAAAGTGCTAGTCATCTGAGATCAACATCTTACTGCTTTCATACTCCTTTCAAGCTAGCAATGTCACTTCTATGGACCATCATATTAGAATAATAGGTGTTGTTTTTTTCCTTACTGCTTATTTTAGAGATCGATTTATTTATTTCTTTGTTAACACGTATAAATATCTTGTGAAAACCTGTTGAAAATGCATTCAGGCATGTGCAACTCATGTCTTTTTTTTAATTAATCATATGAATATGCAAATACAGCATACACCTGAGATTTTTATTAGATTGTAAAATAATAATGCAATGAAGGTGTAGCGCCTCCAGACACGATACTCATAACCAACTGATCCCACTAGAAAGTATCCCCCACACTTAGATAGACACAAAAGTTAGATTTAACCGCAATGAAAACGGTATTAAACAAAATGCATGGTATATATATATATATACATGATTTACACATCTTCAGGAATTCAAGCCAAATATAAACGAATCAAAGACTGTCCAGTCAAGTTATCATGCCAGTGCATGCATTCACCACGAATGATTTCACAGCTTACAAAGAAAGCTTGGTATTGTATGGTTGGAGGCAATTGGCAGGAAGGTTTTGACTTAGGTTTCTTTCTAGTTGCCACCCGCCAGTCAGCAAGGCGTATCTGAAATTTTGGAAGAACTTACACCCCACCTGAGATTCGAACTCGCGCCACTCAGTGTTGCAGTCAGAGACGTTACCACTGAGCTGCTCAAGCTCACGATTGACCTCCTGTAGGACTGTATTGAATATTTTTGATTGGACACTAGTCAATAACTAGTGTAATGTGTCTATTCTTATACTTAGTGCAGACTGAATTTGAATCTCAGAACGGACATGAGTTCATTCAAGGCTGCAGATACACCTTGCTGACTAGTGAGTGCCAACTAGCCCGAAACCTATGTCAGACAAGGCTTCCTGCTGATTGCCTGCAACCATCTAATACCAACAATTCACAATGCACCGTGATAGTGAGCCACCTAAAATGGTGGCCACATTGAAAACTTGACTGATAGAATTCAGTCTGCACCAAAGATAGGACTAGTGTTCAATATATATATATATATATATATATATATATATATTGTTGAGTATTATTGACACTTATTGATTTATTTTTCAGGTAGTCAGGCTGAGATGAAACCATTATCTGAAGATTAGTTACTTCATTCACTTATCTAGGGAGCATTGTCTCAACTACAGGAGGTACGGACGAGGATGTCAAATCGAGAGTCGGGAAGACGAGAAACACATTCATCAACCTGAAACCAATCTGGAAATCTTCGTCACTCAGCCAGCATCAACAACAAAATCCGGTCGGTTTTTCAATACAAACATCAAGTCAGTTCTTCTATATGGATCAGAAACTTGGTGGGTCGGTCACAAAAAATATTTCCAACAGCCTGTTGCAGACCAGGCCTTCATCAACAAGTGTCTTCGCTGGATCTATACTGAAGATCAGATGGCCGGGCCGGAAAGAATCACCAACAAGAAACTATGGGAACAAACAAAACAAGAACCAATCACCCGAGAAATATGCAGGAGACAGTGGAGATGGATTGGATACTAGCTGAGGAGGCTACTGAGTGACATCGCGCGCGCGTGGAACCAGGCCGAAAGGGAAGCGGTGAGTGGGTCGTCGGTGCAAGGGTGACATGGAGGAGATCGTGCGAAAAGGAGTTGAAACAGTATGGACTAACATGGATGCAGGCGAAAAGTACAGCAGAAGACAGAAGCAAGTGGATACGTACAGTTGAAGCCCTATGTTCCACTAGGAACCCAAGGGAACAATAATAATAGTCCTACTCCACATATAAATGGGTTATCTCTCCCAAAACATTTCAAATTTGTTAAGTAAAAATACTTTTTGTTTGCTGTGCTTTTGAAGCTTCAATTCGAAACTTGAAGGAGTTTCTCTTCCGTTTCAGATTGATCAACCTGATAGATGTGATTGTAATCTGATTGACTGCTAATTGATCCGTAACAATGGAAGAGAAAATTCAGTTAATGTTAGATAATATCATTCGTGTAAACCTTAAGCTACTTTTTTTCTTCAAATCTCCTATTCTTACAGTATATCACGTTAACCCATTTATTGTCATCATATGTGGCAAAAGTGATGACAAACACTGTCAGGTGTGTAAGGATAAGAATAGAAATAATAATAATAAGTTTGATGGGAAATTTGAAGTGTTAACTAGACGCGTACTTACTGACATTCTTCTTTTAATCTTTACTTTTGTTAGTTCATTACTACTAATAATATTAAAAGCCTATGGCATCATTTGTCAAGTTTGTGATGTTTATATGTTCAATTCCTTGGATGATTTTATTAAACTGAAATCTTCATTTTTTTCGTTTTACTTTACTCTTAATTTATTGATGAAGAACTTTTCTAGAAACCTGTCAAAGAATTTTTGTCACGGAACCTAATTTCATGTATTCCAGTATTGAAAACCCCTTAAATAATATATTTAGTCTGGTACCATTTCGAGCTGGCATAAATTTGTCTGGTCAAAGTTGTCACTTATTGCATTGTGGGCCGTTGATACAGCGGTTAGGACTCTCGCCGACCATACACATAGTCCGGAGTTCGATCTCCTGACGACGCATACCTGATTTCAATAGTCAGCCTGCTAAATTTGGGCTACCGATATCAAATGCTGAAAATTCCATACTTTATACAAAAAATACTATGTGGTTTCAAGCTATAATCAAAATAATAAAAAAATACATGATCTATTTTGCTTTTGATGCAATTGTGTTTTCTGAGCTGGACAGCTTATCTGTGGAGCCTTCATTGCTTAGTGAGACAGTGAAAGCATCGCAAATAAATTATCCAGCTCAGAGAACACAACTACATCAAAATCATCCATCTGAGTAACAATTCTGCATCATATTTATGATCTATTTTGCATTTTTCAAGAAATATCATTTACTGGTGAAGAGCCCCAAATGAAACATTTGTCCTGTACTCTCTGGTTTCTTAATGGCTCCCTAACTGATGTCAGTCAGTGATTAAACCTGTAATCAGTCCAATCCTTGCAAACCAACGCCTGACATTATATTTTGATTTGTAAATTTTTTCTTGTTGTTGTTGTTTCTACTTTTAGAAGCGTAATTTATGGGCAAGTCGTCGCATGCCGTTTATTATCATACAAATGTCGATTACATGTATTGCATTACTTTGTTTAAGTTGGATTGCAGAGCACAACGTTCCTTTGGTAAATATGTTTATTTATTTGTTGTTGAAATTCCTGTGTGTATGTGCATATATTTCGTGAGGTATTTTTAAATATTTTTTGTTTTGTTTAAATACACAGCGCACTTATCTTAAGTACACTATGTCATCAGTAGTAATCTTGAATTCTAGCTCTATGTGGGCATGTGAAATCCAGTTTTCGTTATTATATCAATGTGTATGTAAATACCCGTATTGTCTTGTCGAATGATATTTACTAATCAAAAACAGGTGTTATGTAAGATTATATTCACTTTTCCTGGTATTAGCTGCACTTTATACTAATGAAATATGGTGCTTTTGAAAGACAACAGGTATTTCCTTCGTCGAAACATTTTTCTTTCTCTATATATGGTGAAAAGCTACATTGTCACTAGTTCACTTTTTTCTTTAGGGGGGTGGGTTCGACGGTATAATGCTTGTCAGTCACGTAGAAGGTCCATGTTTGATTCCTGGAGGTCGCATTCTGGAGCTTTGACTAAATTACTAGCCTGTAGTAAGTAATCCAAGAAAAGATGGAAGGTTGGCCGTGTGTTTAGCGCAACGCCAAACCCGTAAAAACAGAACTACGACTACTGAAACTTCAGAGCTTGGAGCTCTACATTTCACTAGGAACCCAAAGGAGTGATAAATAATTTACTATTTTATAGAGCATAAAACTATTTATTTCATAAATATTCACTACAGGAATTCAGACAACTTCATGAGTTCCTTCAAGGTTGCAAATGGGCCTTACTGACTGGTGAGTGTCAACTAGCACGAAACCTAGGTTAGCAAGGCTTCCTGCCGATTGCCTCCAACCATGTATTGTCCAATTTGTTGAATAACTGTGCTACCATTGTTTTTGGTTAATTACTATTGTGTTAAGCAACCTGTATTCCCTATTTTTACCGGGGTTCAAGGCTTTTTTCATCCGATTAGACAGGCAACACCTTCAGTCAAGGGGTTATGAATTTGAAAATAATTAGTTACTTAGTTTGATTTTAATTGAATTTTTGATTTTCCTGTCGATTGATTGGACTGAAGTGCTCGGTCTCAGATTGACATGTTGGCTTCTTGTGCGTTTGAAACTATGGGCACTGGGTTCCGAGCCTCGGTGGGAACATCATCACTCACTGAGAAATGCAGGTACATCCAGATGACGAGTCCCTAATAGGGCGAAATGCACATCCTGGATTCCACTACTAGTCACCATCTACCAATTAAATTAGTGTGATTTTGTTGGTTAGGTTGTTTTATTCAGGTTTTTCAATCGGTGAGACATATGCAGTTGACTATTTGATTCGAGATTTAGTCCAATCATACACACACGCACACATTGGGAATTAGATTACATAGTTAATTTTTTACCCAGATCCTCAGCTTAACTTTAACAATATAATGCAGCGTGTTATATTAATTTTCCTCATCGTCTACATTTACACTAACTAATTGTGGAAGTCATCGTTATACAAGTAATACAATTGTATGATAACTACATTGAACGTGAGCATATTAAAACATCTATTGTTTCCTTCACAAAACATTCAAAAGTAAATCGCAGAGATACACTTTATTAAGACTATTATCAATAGTTCCGTTTTTTTTCTTCAGTTTATGGCACTTGTTTTTAAAGCATTCCAAATGTGCTGTAGAAAGTAAATGATATTGATCAAAGCTATATTTGATACAATATATACTACCGTTTGATTGCTGGTCAAATCGAAATGATATTAAAATACTGGATGGCCATTTCGCTTGTTTAGGGCTGTGTACACCGTTGATAAACTCGACTAGCAAGCACCAACAGTTACTGTCATTGGTGGCCGAATTCTCACATTATAATCAATTAATAGTATATAGTATCATTCAATTATGCTGTCTTTCTTGATAGCCATTTATATGGTGTGAAGCAGATCACATATTCGTTTTTTCTAGACGAAATTGTGATATAATTTCACCTAGAGCTTTGTAAATGGCAAATAGCGAATTAGTTTCCAAATTAAAAGTTTGGTTCAAAATCGTTTGAAATTTTAATCGTACAGTTTGCGAAATCCCTTTGCTGTGTGTAGCTTATTAACAATGTTTAGTCTTCACAAAAATATGTGATAGTGTAACATGTTTTTAAAATATCATCGCCTCCCTCTCCTATAGTAGCCTCAAGTTCTGAGTTCTTCATATTTATGAGGTGTTTTCAAGAGTTAGTTTGTAGGTATTTGATTTGTTTTTCGAGTTAGACGACAGAGTGATATCAATTAGGGAACCATTGAAAACCACCAGGGAGTACTGGTCATCTGTTCAGCCCTAGTTCGAGACTCACCGGCAATACGCACCCACTGGCGTTTAAACCCAGAACTTTCCGGTTACAAGGCAAGGTCGTATGTCATTCAGCCACTGGGACCCCCATCCAATGGCCCATGAATTTCAAATTCTGCCAATTTGTGATGCTCACTTTTGTCTGGTCACAAGACGAAGTTACCTAGAGTTCCAATGAGAAGTCGTGACTAATTGAATCCACCAGGTTAACCACTCGCCGATGACATTGGTTAGTGCCAGTCACACTAAAATGATGAGTCGGTACAAGTTGAAATTCATGATCCAATGAACCAGATCCCATTAGCTGAATTGTCTACAAGCCTACCTTGTAATCAGAAGTGGATGGATTCGAATCCCGCGGGTTTGTACTGCAGTATAGTTTTTAAAATTTATTGTATTAACATCTGTATTGATGGGAAATATCCAACTAAGATATAATTGTGGCTTTTCTTTTTGTATTTGTAAATTCAGGCTGTTCCCTTGCTTGTTAGTTCAGTGCTTGGTATTACTGTACTTGGATCAATTTCTTTATGTGGTGTATTAGCCGTTGAACTTGCTCCGCCTGGTCTCAGTGGTACTGCACATGCGCTTAGTGCTCTCGCTGCAAATAGTAAGTCAACTTTTTTCTTCGTATGGATCTCTTTGAACTGTGTGTAACCAGTTTATAGATGATTGAACAAGAGAGTGAAATGATTTAGTTCTGTTGTTAAAAGGCATAATTACTAAGTACTGTTAAACTAGGTTGGATCAGTGTGTAAACAGCCTTATTTTTTTGGATCTATCCTTTGTATTTAGTCGTTCAGTATTAGAAAATCATTCTTTTTTTGAGGAATTTATTCGACAAATAGTTTTTCAGTATTATTATATCTTACCCTTGAATAGCTTAAGTGAATCAAAGTAGTCTAATTCGTACAAAGTTAGAATGTTCAATGTTGAATAGTTGGCTGCGATGGTCGGAAGGCTTTATATCTAATTCGGCGTACTTAATGATATTCTTCATACTCTTCAAGGAAAATGATTCCTCTTCAGAGATTCAAGCCCGTATCATCCATCACTGTACTTAAATATTCTACTGTTACGGCAGAAATGAAACATCTTGTCACTAAGTCTTTTCTATGTAAGCTGTGAACCAAATATTCGGTCTTAATTATAGGTCAATAGCCATGTTATTGAATTTTTATTCCTATGTTGTTGACCTGACAAAATATAGTTCTTGTAGCCAAGTTAAACTTTAAGCACCAGCAAATATCAATGGAGTACGACGCACCAATGACATTGGAACCCTCACAGAGGAAGTTAGTGAAAATTGGTAATAATATTCTAATCATGAATGGAATATGCTTAATGAAGTATTGTGCTATTAAACGGGATGTCTGGTGAGCTTTATGTTAGGTTTGAGAAAGATTCAGTTAAGGCTGAGGCTAAGGACGGGTTAGAGTTAGGTTAACCTAATAAGAGCTACATTAGGGTTGGTTCGAGTTAGAATACGGTTACTTTAGGGATATTTCTACAATAGTTTAGGTTAAGGGGCGAAGTTAAACTTTCGACACCACTAACTACCAATCAGCGAATTATCCAATGAGGTTCACGAACGCAGTTCAATGTTGTATAGCGCTTGATTCATTTCTAATGCGTGACCTTACAAGGCTACTGTTGCAATTCGAGGAGGTTAGTGTTTTCCAGTATTTCCTGGATTTGAGTTGCTCTGGAAAGAGCGAATTTGTTTGTGTGGTAGTATCATTACTTTAAAAAGCTATACCAAATCAACTGATGGGTTTGTTCATCGTTGTGCTATATGTTTGAAGCCTACTAACACTGGAGAGGGTAAGCTGATAATTTTTATATTTCGTGAGAACTTACTTTCGCTAGGTCGCATCTCTCCCTAACCCGGATTTTGTATATCTGCAACTAATGGGTGTTGAAACAGGCTGTGAGAGCAGCAGCTGCCGAGATGGAGAATAGCCATGTCTCAACAGTTCAGTGGTACCAGCATTGCAGAGACATCGCATCATGGAAAATGGAGAAAATCACTTGTTTGCTGGGTGGGGAAGACGCTATCGTGCATGTCGATGAGACAGTGCTGGTAAAAAAAAAATACAACCGTGGTCGCCAGCAAGCGAACAATATTTGGGTAATAGGTTTGTATGACACCTCCCTCCGGAAGGGATTCGTCGAAAGGAAAGCAGATGGAAAGGCATTGACAGTCCCATGCTAAACTGGGAGATGTTTCTCTCACATGTTCGAGAAAGATATCCCATGTAACTTTTTTATTCTCTATTTTGTGCTTTTTCCTATAAATATACATTTCCATTCATCATATATGCCTCTTTAATGTAATTGGTTCGTTCAAGGTCGTTTGCTGATTGGTTGTTAGTGGTGTCTAAAGTTTAACTTTAAGGAAAGATTAGTGTTAGAAGACCTATATAATTACATGTTGATACTCTTATCCCAATCTCAGGGGTGTTTTTGTCACGCGTACGAGAGAGGTACCCTGTGCATTTGAAATCATTATTTTCATGAATATATGCATTTTATGCGCTAAGATCCCCCTCATCGTGTGGTTGGTGCGTTCAAGGTCATTTGTCCGTTGGCACTTACTGGTGCTTAAAGTTTATTTTGCCTTAATTTATTGGTCATTTAAAGTAATTATATAGATAACTGTTTTTTCTGATCATCTGCCTTTTTACAGAAGGAATAAATCTTGCCTTTTAGCCTGTCTTCCATATCTTCTGAGTATGAGGGTCGGATCCGAGTGGTTAGCCATATAGTGTCGTGTGTTTGAAGCACTAAGGGTTTAGTTCGCAATCACTAAGTTGTAGGAATCCCGAGTCGAGTATATTATCCTGTCATTTCACCTCCTATTGATGCGCTGCCACTAGTTTTTATGGATGAAATCGCTTAGTATACAATGAGTGCGGTTTTTTCTCATAATCTCAAGTATAAGTAAAATACTCGCCTGTCTGGAATTGAATGCCTAAGTATCTCATCCAACAGTTATACGACAATCCTGCATACCAAGTAATCCACAACGGGAAACTTACGGAATCCTTCGAAGTGAGGAGAGGAGTGAGGCAAGGCTGCCTGACTACTATCACCAATGATATTCCTGATTGCAGTAGATTGGATAATGCGATAGACAACAGGCATAAAATGGACTCGCACAAAAAACCTGGAGGATCTGGACTTCGCCGATGATATATGTCTGATTTCCCACAAACTGGAAGATATGCAAGTGAAAAGCAACAAGTTGGCAGAAGAAGCATCCAGAGAAGATAGGCCTTCAGGTGAACATAGAGAAAACAGACGTAGGTGATGAAGATTTCTGGCCAACAGCAACAACAACAGACAACTATCAGCCAGCATAAATGGGAGGAACCTGAAAGAAACAACCTCCTTTACCTACCTGGGAAACATCGTTTCAACTACAAACGGAACTGACGAGGATATCAAAGCCAGAATCGGAAAAGCAAGACAAGCTTTCATTACTCTTAAGTCTGTGTGGAGGTCAACCGCACTCATCATCAAAAATAAGATCCGGATTTTCAACTCCAATGTGAAGTCACTCAATGCTACTATACGGATCAGAGACTTGGCCAGCGCGTCATAAAGAGCATCTCAAACAAACTTCAGACCTTCATTAACAGTTGTCTTCGCTCAATACTCAAGATTAGATGGCCAGAAAAGATCAGCAATAGGGATCTCTGGCAATGAGCGAACCAACCAGGAACCGATTGTGCAATAAATGTGCATAAAGAAATGGAGATGGATTGGCTGGCCATACTCTGAGAAAAACCATCAAGTGACATCACTAGACAAGCCATCGCTCGAGTGGAACCCGAAAGGGAAGCGGCGAGTCGGCCGTCAGTGGGAGGGTGACTTGGAGGAGGTCATGTGAGGAGGAGATGAAAGCATGTGGGCAGAGTTGGAGCCAGGTGAAAACTCTAGCAGAAAACCGAAGGCAATGGAGACGCACGGCTGAAGCCATATGTTCCTCTAGGAATTAAAGGATATAATAATAAATAATAATAAGTATGTGTACCCTTTGGAATCACACTGAGGATGTTTAACAGTACGTTACTGTCCTCAATTCCTTATAGAAGAGCTAAAAGCAACTGAAATTATTCTTGATTAGCATGTTCATAAGGAACAAACTGACTGTTATTGTTAACTAATCTTTTTGATAGTCAATTAATATTACCACTGTTCTATTACAAGTATATCAGTATTCATTTCTCGCCACCTTTTTTCCTACTTGTTTCAGTTGGTGCTATCTTAGCCGGCTACCCATTCGCTCTTCTAGCAGAGTACATCAATTGGTCTGGTGCATTTTTTGTTGCTGGGATAGCATCTGGATTATCTGTTATACCTTTTTTATGCTTTTGAGATATTTTACTGCTTTATTTATTTATGTATTTATTTTATTGTCAAATAGATTATTCTATTTTGCATTGTTTATTTCAGATATTGTATCTTTGTTTTGACTGTAAGCTATTCACTAAATACTCTTTCAGTCTCGAGTTATTTTCAGCTTATATGGCTGTAATAAATTCTGCTTTTTTCATCTGGAATCATTTCATATACGAATGTGTGTGTACATTGGCCTTCTACTAAATTAACTTGTGTTTACGCGCGCCTTAACTGGTGTGTCAACTTTAATGAACCACTTTTGTGTTCAACAACCAGTACTTCGCTTTATCTATTATTCCTTAGAAATTTTTTATAGTGGTGGTCGACATGTTTTACTATTCTCTGATAACTAATCAGAGATCTTTTACATAAACTAACTTGGTGACCTTTTCAAGAAGGTGGGAACTGTGTCTGTTTGTGACACATGTCACAACAAGCTATTCGAAAAAATACCCATCCTAAAAATTAAAATTGGGCGTATAAAGGAACAATAGTTCTTTTTTTTCAATCAGGTGCTTCACTCTAAGACATGGAGCTGTAAACATGTATTAAATCCTAACCAATGATGGCGATTTTCGCGTCCGTGATAAATGTTGTAATAACAGCGGTGATGAGATTAAGTGGTTGACGCAAGTAACGATAAAAATGATGATCACAGTTTCTAATGTAAGCGTTTCGATAATTAGATTAGGTCAAGATGTTGTAGCGGTAGGTAATTTCCCAGAATTATTGGCCACAGCATCCATCACTGACCCTCCCTGTTTAAGTCAACTTGTTTGGCTGAAGGCCTACGGTTAAGCATCCACACCATTTGGTACGCCGTTGTGTCACGTTCGTTCGTGCACGACCCCTAACTAGTTAAGCAATCATCTCGCACTCCGACTCGGTCCCGAAATATAACTTGTAATTTGGACAATCAATTCTGATGTTTTGCTTTGCCTTTGGTCTACGCGAAACGAATACTATAGAAGTTATGGGTATTAGATCTTGCGTTAGTAAACTTTGTACTATCTGTGAACGTCAATACCGTCAGCCTTTGAAATGTTATAAAATCACCCGTTACGCAATACTGACGATGAAGTGAATGAGTCACCAAGTTTTAAATACTCAACGAATGTGTGAAATTGATAAAGGATAAGAAAGGGTGAGAAGTGCTATTAATAAGTTCATTTAAACCAAGGAAGAGACAAAGGTAGAACAATCTTGCTTTCACTGTATATTCAGGAGATACTCTCCCGAATTCCCATCAATTGGGCGATATCTAAAAGACATGGATGACGGTAAGATAGAAGACAATTCGTTTTTAGGATTAAACCAGGATTGATATCAGCTAGAGAATAACTGGAAATTTGTTTCGCCCTAGTTTAGGCTTATTGACAGTACGCCCTCACTTTGTTTCGAAACCAGAAACTTCCGGTTACAAGGCGGACTGTTATACCATTCAGCTACTAGGACCCGATTCAATGCCCTATAAATTCTGATTTCTAATAGTTCGTGATTTTAGCGCGACCACCAACCAATGTCATCATTAGCAGAGACTCACTCCCAACTTGATGGAGCCCACTGGTCACGACTTCTCACCAGAATTTCAGGCAATTTCGTCCTATAACTGATATCAATACGTGGTCTAATCCTAAAGCAAATATGATCCCTACAAACCAATTCGTGAAAAGAAAACTGTCAAAAATATAGAAGTTTCTAAACGAGCAGGAGAATGGGATTTGCTCCCTGGTTATCCTGGGAGGTAGGAGATAATCAAACAGAGAATAAACAAGTTAAATGAAAGCTACTGGAGGATCTTGTAAAGAAAATCATTTTTCAGTCACATCAGCATATTTAGCTCAAGGGATATTGTAAAATAATTAGGAAAAAGTTAGACCTAAAGAGCGGTCGAACAAAGTCATCTCAAATGTCCTCAGTTCATGGAAGTTAACATTCAGTTCTTCACTGTTCGTGATAGCTTGATTTTATTCACTTGATCAATTCTGGTGTTTTGCTTCGCCTTTGATCTACGCGGAGCGAATATTATGGAAGTTGTGGGTATTAGATTTTGAGTTCGCATACATAGTACTACACGTGAACATCGACACTCTCAGGCCCTAAAATATAATTATTCCATACATTTAGATTTGTATCTCTTCCTGTAATGTCCGCTATACTGTTTCATTAAGAGGTAGTTCATTCTACTGCGCTATTACCGTTGTATTCATTAGAGTTGTAGAAACGACCTATCCGAAATGACGAGGGACCTCAGAATGAAACCATCCCACACTGTTCGCTCGCGCTGATTGTATGTGCGACAGGAAACCATAAGGTGCCAAGTATTGGGAATTGAGATGGGACAGTATAACTGGCACTACCAAATGAGTGCCGAAACTACCACAAAGAGGATTAATCGTGGAACGTTGATAATATTTCATCTTAATTAATATAGCGCCCTATATTATCCTACAGAAATAACTGCTGCTATTCCAGGACTAGCTTATCCAAATAACTGTCATCTTGAATCGCTTCATAAAGTGATACTTCTTACTGTGGTAGTTTTCTCTAATAAGCATGGTGGTTGCGTAGATACAAGTTTACTTTATTATTATTAGTATTCTTCCTTAGGTTCTCAGTGGAATTATGGTTTCCGCAGCATTTCTATGTTGTGTTCTGTCATGAGTTATCATCTCTAGCTGACCTTATGACTACCCACGAGCTTTCATTTATTCTCCATGTCGAACTTGGACACCCAGTTCGTAGCTCAATATTCCAGGACTCTACTGGAATGTGATGTCATGGGACCTCCACGATAAACTTACCTGGCGCCGGGTTCAGGGTGATCAAGAATGCTCTGACTCCGGGTGGAGGCTCACCATTGCACCTTGGTGGGTTGAAACTCGCGACGGACCCTAATCGGGTGCTCTCGGGCGTGTAGTTTTTGTCAGTGGGGAGGCCTCACGGTCCTCCCTTTATTTATTTCTTTTTGTGCGTCGGTGGCACAGTGGTTAGGACTCTCGCCGACCATGCACATGGTCCGGGCCCACGTCGACGCACACCTGATATCTGTGGTCGGCCTGCAAAATTTGGGCTACAGATATCCACGTTGAAAATTCCATACTTGTACCAAAAATACCGTGTGGAATCAAGCTATAATCAAAAATGAATAAAATAATATGGTATGGCCAATCAGACGTGGTAAGTAACTGAGAAATTCGGGATGATGGAACGAGTAACCAAGTGGGAACTATTTCTTCCTTATGATTTATCAGGCTTCCTTTATCTATTGAGTGATGAGTGCCTTTCGTGTGTTTGACAAGGCTTTTTCCGCACCACTTGCCCTCTGCCTTGCTTTCGAAAATAAAGGTTCAAAAACACCATTAGTCTTCCACAATATTATGAGTTGTCGGTTGGCAATCAGGATAGTTATTTTAATAGAAAGGTTGGTTTCTAAAATGTCACTTGGGTATACTTTATGGTATATCTTATCCATCTGCGTTTTCTCCTGCATATTTATCCGGCTAGAAATATGTTCTTTACTGATTCACTGCAAGAGTTTCTTGTCATTTTCCTCCACCTTTGAGAGAGGCAAGGCAGGTACTTGTGAAAGTCTGCAGTTATTAAGAAATGATTTTGGTGATATTTACTCTAAGTTTCTTAGCCTGAAAGTGGCCCCAACTTAACAGTAGTGCTGAAAATTTAGATCTTCTTCCTTGATTTCAAATTAATTAACTCCTGTTTTGCGTTCTGCACTCTGGTTAGCTTTGATATCCTTTTTCGTGCCGCAAGCAGTTGAAACGATGCCACCTATTTGTCTCCAGCCTAGTCTACAATTGTGTGAGTTACCTATCGACCGAATGACGATATCTGTCATCCAAACCACAGCAACTAGCTCCTAATGATCTAATACGGAGTAAGGATGAATTAAGCTGCATGCTAAGTCTCGGTATTATTTGGCAGTTAGATCATCCACCGTAGTCCTCATTCCAAATAGTTGCAAAGTGGAACAGCAATGATACGGCCCCACTAGTGATTTCCGATGCTTAAAAACAGGAATCTTTACAAACTACTTTCCAGTGGCACATATAATCAATGTTATATGCCAATACTTTCCTTTCAAATGCTGACTTCGTCATGACATACAATACATTTCTGATGAAACAAGAAAACCTTCCAAAAGTAACTGCTACTGTGACTTTTGCACTGTTTGAGTTCCTACTCATGCCTTCAGTCTTAGGAAAGAAGGGCTTTGTTTACGAAATATCTCGCGCTGTGAAAATTATACACACCTAACTGTACGACTGCCTTATCTTACGTTCAGGCAAGGTGTCAGCCAACTCTCATAAAGTGTCAATGTCCAGCTCTTACTACGCTGGGCCTCACACTGTCCCTGGAAGACTTTCAGAAACAATTTGTATTAACCAACGCGAAAACCAGAACACTGATTGGCGACTCGAGAATCCTTTATTCCTACGCCAACATGTAACCAACAATAAAGTTATTACACAAGGTTTCTGATATTTTTCGATCTTCCACTGAACAGCAAACGATGAGACGATGACTGATGGATGGATGGATGACTCCCGCGAAAAGTATGGAGGAGTTGAGCAAACAATCATGAATTGAACGTTCAGTCTTCAACTACATTGAGACAAGGAGACTTACCTAAAACATTTAAACTTGGTCCTGAATGGACTGCAGTATTATGATGTTGCGATGAACGGTCAACATTGTCAAGTAGAAGTAGAATCCGTCGAATTTCCTTGATGCACCATTGTCTGTGGGGTAAACAGCCTACTATTCAAAGAGTCGAGGTCATTTGAACTATCTGGGACCGAAAGGCATGAAACGTCGGCACACATAATGACCTAGTAAGTCACTACGGTCTACCTATTCTCAACTGTGCCAAAATAATGCAACGGTTGACAGAACAACTTTAACAGAGACCGGACGCGTAAATCTCGATACATCCGCTAAAACGAAAGAAGCCGTTGTAGTGCACGCTGTACCCCTGAACTTTTGTTTAAACTCGCGCACCCATCTTTTGGCATACTTTTATCTTTTGAGTTGTGACTCTTCCGTACGTTCATTGGTTCGCTCTCTCGTTGTGCTTTCATTCTGCACACTCTCCAAGCCTACCTCCAGTGGCGTCAGCAGATAAGTTGTACAACCTCTTTATTTATTGAATTTCATATTTCGTTTGTGTAAAATATAATTGTCCCGGATACACTTGTCATACCAAGTCTTTTTACCTTGATTCGGTTCGTCAGTATTTGCACGTTAAGTAGAGTACAGCTAAGGTCATAAAACGGTGAAGAAGTTTTGTAAGAGTGTTGAGAATTGAGGTCTACCCTAAGCCGTAATAGCTCTCACACCGTCGTGGATGGACTAGATTTCACCTCCAAGAATGTAAGTTGGGGTATTCGATATTCTAATGGATGCAGTCTGGCAACAGATACCAGCTGCGAACCCCAAAACAAACTGCATTATTCTCACAGAGTCCTTCTGTTTGTGTACTTCTCTGCACGTCACAATCAACATTCCGTGGGCTGTCATGAATTCATCGTTTTCATATATAATCAACAAGTAACACACTCTTTGAATACAAGCTTGGACAGATAATCACAAGTAGGGAACTGTAAGGTAGACCACAGTTTACCCCAGGTATCCGATGCAAATCTTAGCCTAATTATACTGTCGCATATACTT